TTTGTTTTAGCATTGAACGCACTCTAAAACAATGCATGCTGTGAGTCTACTATTGGTATGTTGCCAGTTTCAGCACTTGTGGATGATCCAAGCCCAGGTTTATCCTAAATCCAGAGTTGGTGTTCTGTTCAGCATGAACTGGGGAGTATCTAAACAGGGTTGTCCAACCCCACAAACCTCTCTCTGGGTCTGGCATAAGCCAGATGCTTCATCCACAGTCACCACCAGCATATGGTCAGCCACTACACAATTCTGCCTGGCTCTGAGCAGAATCACCATAAAAGGACCAGCATCAGGCTCCTATGATATGTTTGTGTCCATTAACACCATAGTACTGTGTTATACTCTGAGCCCCAAACCTGCCAGGACCACCATAGCACTATGCTATGGGGTACCTACTGCTGGGATGGGTTCATGGCCCATGACCACTGCAACCAGTAATAGGTGATGCTGGCTGTATCAAAAGATCTATATACTGACAGTCTGTAGTCTCTGCTTGAAACCAGGGTTGTTCCATCCACAGAAGGATTGGGGAGGGGACCTATTAGGATCTGCCCAGTGTTAGGTTTCATCAGCTGGCCACTGAGTTCCAAGTTAAGTTCCTATGCTTAATACCCTGTCCTACCACAGGCACATGAGTCTTGCTCTACATATGCTACCCAAGTTTAGGGTAGTGTTGGTATTGTCGAACCCAACTTACCATCCAGCCTTGATGACCAACCTCGGGAAAATGCTATCCCCAGGCCAGTGTTTGCAGAGTGAACCACTCCACCAGCCCTGGCACCACACAGAGATCAGTGCCTCAAGGATAACACTAAGCTAGGTTGCACCTATGTCTCCTGCAAGGATCTGCAAAATCTCAGAGGTGCACATAGGCTCACCCTGAAGTTGGTGATGATGCAGGCTGAAACACAAGTTTACCACACCAGGATGCATGCAGTTCTCTTTCTAGTGCCAAAGAAGATCTAGAGGCTCCATCTGGGACTACTGGCCTGGGGATATCTCTGCTACCCAAGGTTAAGGGATGGGTGATGGAGACAGTCCCTCAGCTGTCAAGGATAATATACCTCAGTTTCTTAGTTGCAGGAACATGAACAATCTGGAAATGGGGATGTGCACCAGGCCCACTCCAAGGCTGGTAATGATGCATACCAAAACTTCAGTCTGTCCCACAAGCCTAGGGGCTCTATCTGCAAGCTCTGGGCTGGATGTAGGGGTCTTTGGTTTCTGCCTGATGCTGAGTCTCCCAGGAGCAGGTCTAGCATTGAGCGCCAACATAATATCCTTGCTAGCTTTTGTGCTCTGCTCCCCAGGAAGTAGAGTCTTGTTTTTCTCTTTGCTGCCTAGAATTGAGGAAGCAGTGATATGGGCAACTCTTTCCTTCTTATCTTCTTCACTGCATCTTTTCCTCATTATTATATTAAAATCAGGCACTAAATTCTCTCACTTTGCTTCCTTAGCTCTTGTGAAGACAACTATTTAAACTGGTATGTCTATGGGGAGACAATCACTGGAGAGTCTTACTCAGCTGCCATCTTGCTCTGCCTCCTATCTCATTATTTTTTTAATTTAGTCATTCAGATAGATGAGCAGTATTGTCATTTTTTTTTTGTCCTGAGAATTAAACTCGGGGGTTTTTCTACGGAGCTACATCCCCAGACATTTTTTTTTTTAAATCTTGAGACAGGGTCTCATTAAGTTACTTAGAGCCTTGCTAAGTTGCTGAGGCTGACTTGAATTTATGATCCTTCTGCCTCAGCCTCCCACGTCTTGAACTATAGGCTTACATGCCACTGTGCCCAGTTAGCAGTGTTAGTCTTAATTTGCATTTTCCCAATGGCTAGATGAAGCTTAAAATCTTTTCACATATTATTTGCTAACTATACATCTTCTTCATTAAGTACATGTCTTTTACTTACTTTCTAACTGGATTCTTTTTTAAATTGTTGAGTTTGGGAAGTTCCTTATAAATCCTAGGTATAAGTCCTTTGTCAGATATATGGTTTATCAATATTGTCTCCCAATCTGACACTTGTTTTTAGTTTCTCCTAATAGAGTCTTTCACAGAGCAAAAGGTTTCCAATTGATGAGATCCCATTTTTCTCTTTTTCCTTTCATAGGATAATATTTTTGTTATAAAGTCTAAGAACATTTACCTAGCCCTAGTTTCTTTTATGTTTGTTTTCTACATATTTTATGATTTTAATTTAAATCTATGATCATTTTTGAGGATTTCTTTTTTTTAATAAACCATACAGTTTGTTGTTTTTTTTTAAATTCATGTTTGTTCATTCATCTTTGTTTTAAATTCCTCTGGATGTCCAACTGCTCTAGGAACATTTGTAGTAAAATATTGTACCATCATTTAAAAATTTTTCCATTTATTTTTGTGCATAATATTTAGTAGCACTGATCATATATACAATGTTGTGCAACCATCACTAATTTTCAAAACTTTTTCATAACTCTAAATAGAAACTTTACAACCCATTAAGTAATAATTCTCCACTTCTTCCTCTGGCTCTCGGTACTTTCTAATCTGCTTTCTGTCTCTATGAATTTGACTACTTTAGATATTTCAAATAATTGGAATCACATAAACGTATCCTTTTTTGTTCAGATTGTTTCACTTAGTGTACTGTTTTCAAGGTTTATCCATGTTGTAGAAGATTTAATTCACATTTACAGCTAAATATTATCCTATATTGTACATGAGTGAGAGTGGTGTGGCACATTTTGTTTATCTATTTATCTGCTGATGTACTCTTAGGTTGTTTCCACCTTTTTTGGCCACTGTAAATGTTGCTGCAATAAACACGGGCATTACAATTATATATATATCTGTTCCACCCTGTTTTCAATTGTTTTAGGTATGCATCTAGGAGATGAATTGCTAGTTCATATGGTAATTCTATGTTAAACTTTTTGAGGAAGCACCAAATGGTTTTTCATAGCAGCTGCACAATTTTACAACACAACAATGAACAAGTTTTCTGATTTCTCTAAATCCTCATCTATATATTATTTTCCATTTTTAAATCATAGCCCTATTAGTAGATGTGAAATAGTACCTTATTTAGTTCCATTTACATTTCTGTTAAACAACTGCATGTCATCTTTTGAGAAATATCTATTCAGGTTCTTTGACCATTTAAAAATCAGGTGTCTTTCTGTTACTGAGGTTTTTTTTAATATGTTCTGGATATCACTGAAGCCATTTTATGATAGCTGCTTTAAATTCTTCTAACATAATTACAACTATTTCCTTTGAGACTTTTGTAGGTTTTGGTACGTATGGTATATGATTTTCTACTTTTGTACCTTAGGGTCTTCTTTCACCTCTTTTCATAGTTAACCACATTTACTACTTAGTAGTTCTTGATATTAAATTTTTCCTATTCAAATTACTGGTGTGGGTTTCATGTCCTGAATGGATCTTGAATGATATGGGATTTGGGGTAATAATAAAGTTTTGGGTTATGACCATGAATGTGGTGGAGATATGTGGAAAAAATCATAATTGGAAACAAAATTGTCAACAGCAGAGAAATTAAGGAGTTGGAAGGATCATCTATATCAAAGTTGAAGTCACAGAAGTAAGAGAACAGAGAAAGACAATGTTCCATGAGTTCATTGGCTCAGAACCTTTACCACATTATATCCATGACCACTGGGCAGTTCCACAAATGACTCTAGGAGCTCTGCTAGAATAACAGTTTTAATCCCGATTCAAAACATCCTGTGCAGAACAGGTATCATTGTTGGGTAATGTCAAGAATCCCACTCTGGGATGAGGAAATCAATTCTAATCTTTATTTATCATGTACTATCTAGCCTTATGACCTGAGCCATACAATTCCCATCTTTGGATCCAGTTTCAACATCACAGTTTCCTCTGCAAAATAAAATGTTCATTTCTTTTCTGTTTGCCTCACAGAATGACTATGAAGAGACCTTGTGCATATCACATAGACTAATAGAAACTTCTGTTAGAAATGAAGTATTTCTACTTTCTCAACTACCCTGGTACATACATTCTACAGGGAAAACGTTCTTTTTCCTCTGTCCCTGATCTAATTCAAGTCTCCCTTTGTCTTCCCTTGGACCATTCTTATATTCTTCTATCTAACTCCCAGATAACTCTTTCTAAAACTATGAGGTGACCTAAAATTTCTCATGGTTTCCATTACACATTTAGGGATCTCCATGAACCAGCCTTGTAAGCCTTAAAAACACACCTCTTCCTTATATAGCTGCTCCTATCTCTAAAGGAGATATATATATATATACATATACATACAGGACAGTTCAATGATCTATAAACTTGTTATTTCTCAGTAAGATGCCTTAGAATAAGCTGATACATGTCTGAAATGTTCTCCTTCCCCGATCTCTGGTTGGTAAAATAATATTTTTCCTTGAAGGCTCAAACCATATAGATAGAGTATATGGATTTTTTTCTTTCTTTCACAGATAGGAGGTAACCTCCTCTTCCACTAAGGCTCCTTCTATACTTACATATTCTTTTCTGGAAGGCTTTTGACACAAATAGCCTTATTCTGTGATTATTTGTAAATATGTCATATCTTCTTCATTAGTTGGGAATAATTCTTTAACTTGACCGTATCTTATTCATTTGCCTCTCCCCAGCACTCAGAAGACCTAGAATATAATAGGTGTCTAGGGAATGTTAATTAAATAAATTACGAAGGCAACATACAGGTTAACTTGTAAACATGGTTTGCAATAGGGACAAATTTGAATGATGTGTGGAAACTACACAGAGTACATCCAGTTTGTAAATCCATGGTTAAGAATATGGAGGTACAGAGGTATAATTTGTAATGGGGGTATGGTTCACTTACGTAATATGTGTTTATGTGCCATATGGACACAGGTGAAACACCCCAAGTCTTGCTCTCTCTATATCTTAGGCCAGGCTGATTCTCTACCAATGATATATCCCCTCCTGTCCTCTATCCTAGTCCCTACTTTCCTACCTTACATGTATGTCAGTCTCCAGTCCATATGCCCCTTGTTCAACAGCTTTCTCAAAGGCCATCACGGTATTCTCTGGCCCTGCCTGTGGAAGAAAGGAACATCAGGCCCTGTGCCTCAGAGTCTTTCCTCTCAAAATCCCTTTTGTAGTAGGGATGAAGTCCAGGAATGAAAGGGCTTTGGGAAGCAGACCTCGGCTTCCTTAGAACTCTTTTCAAAGATCCTGTCTGTATTCCTCTCTGTCCAATCTGACATTGGGCATAGCAAAGAGAATTGGACAGGAAATTAGAAAACCTGGGTTCAAGTCAAACCTCTACAATTAACTCCTTATTCTTGTCATATCAAAGCAATTCTTGTTCTCTCTAGGGATTTGTATGGTTCTGAGCTTTCCTCTTCTCATCTACATTCCCTGTACATACCTGTACTCATCCATGTTTATCCTGCTCATACTTACCATGGGTGCACCTCTGTGTGCAAAGAAGACAGGCTTAGGCCCCAGCTCCTCCTTCTCCTGAATGCAGGGAGAATAAACCCCCAATGGCATTGCATAGAGGCACAAAAGGATAAGAAAAAAGGGCAATCCAGCAGCAATTTGTAGAGCTAAAAGAGTTGGAAGGAGAGGGAAGTGGAATAAAAGTGAACGAATGGAAAACCATACCAAATAACACTACACCAGCAGCAGTCTAAGTAAATCCTGGGACCATGGGTTTCACTGACTCTGTGGATTGGCTAATTTACATTTCATTTCTGTCATATCCCCACTTACTTTCAGGGATAGATACAAACATCCAAACATAAGACATTATTATTAAGGCAACGTTACTCTAACTAAAAATTGACAAAGAATTGTAGAGAGGATAGGTAAAAGGGAAAGAAGGGGAGGAAGGAAAGGGATTGTTAAGAAATAGCTTCTCAAAAGGAGACATTTGTTTAGTTCTGAAAAAGCCCTGAAGCCTACATAGATCATCCTAAATCCTTAGGGCAGTGCAGTATAGTGGAAAGGGCACTAACTGACAGAAATGTGGGTTCCAAGCCAGGTTCTATCACTTCCTAATTGTATGACTAAGAACATCTGACTTAACCTCTTTGAGTCTTCATTTTCTTTTGTAAAACAGGATGCCTTGCTGCTAACATCAATCTTACAGAGTTGTTATAACCACATTGACTCATAATAGTTACTCAATAAATTCTAGTTATTTTCTTTCCTCCTTCCCTCATACATGCATTTCCACATGCACACAGACATACACACACACACACTCATACACAGAGCCTGTCCATAAACCCATTATTACAGTCATTTCCCAACACTTACTATTTTAGACCTTTGAGGACTTTACCCATTTGTACATTTTAAGTTACAACCTATGCTTCAGTAACTTTCAAATCTATGTCTCCAGCTCTAACCTCTTAACCTTGTGAATATATTACATCTCCTGAGTCTTGCTTTCTCATAAGGTGTTATCTTGCGTCTTCTTTTTATAACTAAAATTTAGAAAATGAAAAAGAAAAGAGTTTATTATCGTCCTTTTTAAACTCCTGCCCCAGAAGTAGTTTCTAAAAATTTCCTCTCACCCACACCACACAAATACACTATATAAACATACAATGGCACCACTATCAAATCAGATGGTCTCTTACCTGCATCCCTCCACAAGCCAAGAAGTAAATGCCCCTTACTGAACCAAGAGTAAATAGGGAGATACAGAAAGAAGATCCTATGGTTTCTCAGTAAGGATGGTAAAAGATAACTCCATTCTCAAAAAGTTTAGTGTACAGATTCCATTTTCTTCTGTTTCTGTTACAGTAGGGGAAGGGTAAATGGAGAGGAAACCAGTGGCAGAGAAATTTCTGTTCCCATTGTAAGTCCCCAGATATGACAGGGATTCACAGAGGCCTGCTTTGAATAACTTGGATGTAATCAGGGATCTTTGGACCTAGTGTTACTTGAATTAGGAACATTTGAATACAAACTGAAGGAACTGTGACTTGCACCACACTCTGGCCAAAAATTTAAATGGCCTTTTGTCTTCATAGAGTAGATATACAATAACATAAAGATACAACTTATTTTTCTAGAACAAAGATCTTTAGAAGAAGATCTGCTTCCTCATGGAAACAGTATGACAGGCCACATAGGGTAGTGAGTAAACATAAGAAACATGCCTACGTAACAAGCTAAAGGAATTTCAAAGAGTGTAGGGGTGGCTATCTACCAAGTTTCTATTTTTCTGAATAGAGTATGTAAGCTAAAGCCAGAACTGAAGGGATCAGGCAAGAACCCACCCCAAATGACATACCTTCTCTTTCCAAACAGCCCACATACATGGCCAAAGGCCAGGAAAGGATAACCATCACAATTATGCTGATCGGCTGTACAACAGGTGCAAAGATCTGGGAGAAAGTCAAAAGTCAGGCTAGACATATATGGACAGATAGTACTAAGAGCTACAGGATGATGCTTACCTGCAGTGACAGCCCAGCTATCAGCCACTTATCTTTCCAGAATATGCATATAACAGACAGTATGAAGGTGCATAGCGTAATCATTATCATAATCAGGATCTGGGGAAACAAAAAGGATCTTCTGACTTCTAGGCACCAAGTTTGGGAATTTTATGTGTATATTTACAATATCAGGGACCTCATCTCATCCTTTTAATCTAATCATCCTACATATTACAATGGTGGATTCAATCATTCACTTTAGCTCCTCAGTCTTTGCTGTACAGCATACTGGAAAAAAATTACACAATTATGTGGCTTGATGTATTATTAATTTACCATCTCTAGTCTCAGTCTTAAATATGGCTTGGTATCTCTCAGTTTCAACAACAGTCACTACAAATCCTCACCTTTTCTTTAAATCTCAACTCAATTAGATTTTAAGTAAAAAATATTTTGAAATTGCCTTTTTGACATCTGTCTTCCTTGACAGAGTATAAGCATCACAAGATCAAGGACATTTATATTATTTATGATTATATCCTCAGTGCCTTGCAGAATATCTGGCATATGGTGAGCATTCAATAAATATTTGTTGAACAGACGAAAAATAATCTGCCTACCAGAACACTATATGGTTTACAAAGAAAGGACATAAAAACTAAGACATAATTTTAACTTCTTCTACTTCAAATGTATAGTTTTCCTAAATGTGTGCTGCTATCTAGATAGTTCCCTCCTTTCCATGGTCTATCTAAAGTAATTAAACGTATAATTAAACCTCTCGCAAAATAACTTTTTGCTAGCTCCAGTGGTGAATTCTACCAAATACTTCTGAAGAAATGTCTTCAAACTTTTACAAATTCTTCCAGAGAATAGAAGGAATACTTTCTAACTTTTCTTATAAAGCCAACAAAATAGTTATATCCAAATTTAATAAAAGCATTGTAAGAACAAAATAGTAGACATGGATATCTTTTATGCATATAGACGCAAAAAACTTATTAGTAAACTAAAAGCATCACATCACAAAGGTCAAATCAGACTCTTAAAGAATCACAGATCTTACTGAACACCAAACTTCACAAATTATTTAAATGATTCAAACAATCATGAGATACAGATAAAATATGTTCCTTTAGAGAAATCTAATCATGTCAAATATAGCTATTCATTTAAAAAAAGTCTTTCCTCCATTAGTGATGCATCCTGATTTAGGACTTAATTATGAGATGTGTTTTGAGCAAAATATATAAAAACACAACTTTACAGAAGGAGCCATTCTGGTTATGAAGCATCCTTACTTGTTACTCCATTAATCTTACAACTTTAGCGAACCATGTCTTCCACAAAAGAAATCTATATATTCCAGCAAAGGTGGAATCTATTAAGATTTATATATTTACAGCAAAGGTACCTAGATATACCCAGTCTATCCTATTAGAAATGTTCACAGAAAAGGACTCTGTTATCTTTTGGTTAATAAATACTTTAAATGTATTTACTAGGAGGTCAGATTATTAGCATGATTAAAAGGAGTTTTGATTGAGGCCATTCATTCAACTCTGGATATTCCTACATAGAAGATGAAGGGGTTATGAGCCTGGTGTAAATTCTTTCTTCCTGGATTTATTCTGAGAAAAACAAAACTAAAATTCCAAGCCTCACAGATTCTAGTGGCTTCAATTTCCATCATTCTAATAACTCTAAAATTTATGTTTTCATTTGTACTTGTCATATGATAACAGACTTAAGGACATTACTTAAATGTTCTCAAATTTGAGAAAACCAAGTATGATAATCACTACCATGCCTGAAGAAGTTCATAAAAAAGCAAGAGGCTGTCACTAGAGCTGCTTAAGCCCATGGCAAAATAAGGGAGGCTATGCTGGAAATATGCTGTAGGTTCACAGATGATTGAATCAAGTTGCCTATTCTCTGGGGCCAGATATGTACCTTTTTTATTTTTTTAATATTTATTTTTTAGTTGTAGATGTACCTTTATTTTATTTTTATTTTTGTACGGTGCTGAGGATCAAACCCAGGTCCTCGCACATGCTAGGCGAGCGCTCTACTGCTGAGCCATAACCCTAGGCCTAAATACGGGCCTTTTGAGATAAACCATGCTAGTATCTTTGTGTGTGTGTGTGTGTATATTTATTTATTTATTTATTTATATTTATTTTTAGTTTTAGGTGGAAAACTAAAACTAAAATATCTTTATTTTTTATTTTTATGTGGTGTTGAGGATCGAACACAGCACCCCGTGCATGCCAGGCAAGCGTGCTACCACTTGAACCACATCCCCAGCCCATATTTATTTTTAATTTGCTCTAATTAGTTACACATGACAGTAGAATGCATTTTGACAACTGTACACAAATGGAGCACAGTTATTCATTCCTCTGGCTGTACATGTATATAGGGCAAAAATGTCTAGTTCTACCCATTTACCTGCAAATGCCATAATTTCATTCTTCTTTAAGGCTGAATTATATTTTATTGTGTATATTTACCATATTTTCTTTATCCATTCATCTGTTGAAGGCCATCTATGTTGGTTCCACAGTTTAGCTATAGTGAACTGAGCTTCTATAAACACTGATGTGACTGTGTCACTGTAGTATGCTGATTTTAAGTCCTTTGAGTATAAACCGAGGAGTGGGATACTTAGGTCAAATGGTGGTTCCATTCCAAGTTTTCTGAGGAACCTCCATACTGCTTTCCACAATGGCTGCACCAATCTGTTGTCCTATCAGCAATGTATGAATGTATCTTTTCCCCCGCATCCTTGCCAACATTTATTATTACTTGCAATTTTGATAATTGCCATTCTGACTGGAGTGAGATGAAATCTTAGGGCAGTTTTGACTTGCATTTCTCTAATTGCTAGAGATAATGAACATTTTTTCCATATGCTTGTGGATTGATTGTATGTCTTCTTCTGTGAAGCATCTGTTCAGTTCTTAGCCCATTTATTGATTGGGTTTTGTGGCTTTATGGTGTTAAGTTTTTTGAGTTCTTTATATATCCTGGAGACTAGTGTTGTATCTGAGGTGCATATGGTAAAGATTTTTCCTATTCTGTAGGCTCTCTCTTTACATTATTGATTGTTTCCTTTGCTGAAAAGAAGCTTTTAAGTTTGAATCTGTCCCATTGATTTTATTTCTTGTGCTTTAGGAGTCTTGTTAAGGAAGTCTGGTCCAACATTGATGTGATGAAGATTTGGGCCTACTTTTTCTTTTATTAGGCACAGGGTCTCTGTTCTAGTGCCAAAGTCTTTGATTCACTTTGAGTTGATTTTTATGCAGGGTGAGAGATAGAGGTTTAATTTCATTTTGCAACATATGGATTTCCAGTTTTCCCAGCACTATTTGTTGAAAAGGCTATCTTTTTCCAATGTATGTTTTTGGTGCCTTTGTATAATATGAGAAAACCGTAATTATGTGGGTTTGTCTCTGTTTCTTCTATTCTGTACCACTGGTCTACATGTCTATTTTGGTGACAATACTGTGCTGTTTTTGTTACTATTGCTTGGTAGTATAGTTTAAGGTCTGGTATTGTGATGCATCCTGCTCCACTATTCTTGCTAAAGATTGCTTTGGCTATTCTGGGTCTCTTTTTAAAAAATATTTATTTTTTAGTTGGACACAAAAGTTTTATTTTGTTTATTTTTATGCGGTGCTCAGGATCGAATCCAGGGCCTCAAATGTGCTAGGCAAGCGCTCTACTGCTGAGCCACAACACCAGCTCTGGGTTTCTTATTTTTCCAACTGAATTTCATGGTTGCTTTTTCTAGTCCTATGAAGAATGTCATTGGGATTTTAATAGGAATTGCATTAAATCTGTATAATGTTTTTGGTGGTATGGTCATTTTGACTATATTAATTCTGCCTATCCAAGAGTATGGGAGAGTTTTCCATCTTGTGAGGTTTTCTTCAATTTCTTTCTTTAGTGTTGTGTAGTTTTCAATGTAGAGGTTTTTCACCTATTTTATAAAATTGATTCCAAGTTTTTTGTTTTGTTTTTTTCAGGTTACTGTGGTATTCCCAATTTCTCTTGAGTGGATTCATTGCTCATGTATAGATATGCATTTGATTCATGGGTATTGATTTTATATCTTGCTACTTTACTGAATTCATTTATTAGCTATAGAAGTTTTCTGGGGGAATTTTTTGGATCTTCTAAATATAGAATCATGCCCTCAGCAAATAGTGACAGTTTTGAGTTCTTCCTTTTCTATTTGTATCTATTTAATTTCTTTCATGTGTCTGATTGTTCTAACTACAGTTTCAAGGACTATGTTGGAGTGGTGAAAGAGGATATTCATGTCTTGTTCCAGTTTTTAGAGGGTATGCTTTCAATTTTTCTCCATTTAGAAGGATGTTGTCCTTGGGCTCAGCATATATAGTTTTTATAATGTTGAGGTATGTTCCTACTATCCCTAGTTTTTCTGTGTTTTGAACATGAAGAAGTGCTGTATTTTGTCAAATGCTTTTTCTGTTATCTATCAAGATAATCAAATGATTCTTAAGTCTGTTGATGTGATGCATTATGTTTACTGATTTCCACACATTGAAGCAACCTTGCATTCCTGGGATGAAGCCTACTTGATCGTGGTGTGCTGTCTTTAATGTTTTTGTATGTGATTTGCTAGAATTTTACTGAGAATTTTTGTGTCTATGTTCATCAGGGATATTGGTCTGAAGTTTTCTTTCCTTGATGTGCCTTTGTGTAGTTTTGGAATTAGGGTGATACTAGTTTGGAAGGGTTCCTTCCTTTTCTATTTCATGGAATAATTTGAGGAGTACTGGTGTTAATACTTGTTTGAAGGTCTTGTAGAACTCGACTGAGAATCCATCTGGTCCTGGGCTTTTCTTGGTTGGTTGACTTTTGATGGTGTCTTCATATATCTTTGCTTGAAACTGATCTATTTAAATGTGTATGTCCTCCTGATTCAGTTTGGGTAGATCATATGTCTGTAGAAATTTGTCGATGTCTTTGAGATTTTATTGGAATATAAATTTTCAAAAGAGTTTCTAATTATCTTCTGTGTTTCAGTAGTGTCTATCATGATATTTCCTTTTACAGCATGGATTTTAGTAATTTGAGTTGTCTTT